AAAAGTTTTCAGAATATTTCTTAATGCAATAAATGAACAATAAAGAATTTCCATAGGATGGCAAACAGTTGATAAAGATATTTAAACCTGCTTCATGATAAGCTTCAGAGGGAAAAGAAGTTGCTTACTTCTTATTTTATTATGATTATAAGAGTATTTGAGGATTTTGTAGCATGTGTGTTTTCTATCTATTAGGATTTATACATTCTGATACATTTTATCTTTAACTTTTCAAAAATTAAACAAAAAAGCACTCTGCTGAGCATAATTATTTAAAATAATGCAGAAGAGTTTGTTTAATGCTTCGAATGGAAAGTGGCACAGGTTTCACTTTGATCAGTTCGCAAAGCACGACCTGGGTGAACATCGTACACAAAATCCTCAGATTAACACTTTGACTCTGAATCAGAAGATGTCTTGTTGCTCCGTTCTCACACAACAAATGTTCTTCACAGTCAGAGAAAATGATGGAATTACTTAAACCCTGAGGGTGAATGAACACATTCTAATTTCTTACCAAGATATTGCTCACTTCATGTCATGCTGTCTTCACATTGAGAAGAAGATTGAATTTGGAATCAGATGGCTTAAAACAATGCCTCATTTTAGTGTAATTAGTATCCTTCTAGGTATAACAGGGCTCTTCATCTATTGGAAAAAAAGATTCCAAAACTTGGGAGATAAATTTTCTTTCTGCATTTCAAGCAATAAAAGAAAGCAAGCAGATCAATCTTTGTTTGGGTATCCTGATTATTGAGACATCTGGGATTTTCTTTTTTTATTTAGAAGGTACTGTAACTCTCTACAGTAAAAGTTTAAATATGTACATTAGTACTTCTAAGGTATATTCTTGACATCAGTATTATTTTAATTTAGACCAAATAACATGTTTAATGTTTTGCTAACATTCTGCTATCCTATGTATATCATTATATAATTATGAAATTTTAAAAAGAACTAAGTAGATGTTATAGTGTAATAGGAATGTTCTATTACATTACTGTTACCTGGGAAATTGCTCCCTGATGAGGCCATGAAGTAAAGTCTGTTTAGACTCTAATCGTTAGGAACTCCTCAGTGGGAATTACCATTAGCATCAGCAGGTTTGGGATTATTAAGTACTAGATTTCCTTTCACTGAATAAATGAAAGATTTTCAATTTCATTTCATTTTTTAACCTGAAAAGAAAATGCTTTATTTCAATAAGTTAGTCCAGAAAATGTCAGAGAAAGCACATTCCCAATTGTTTAGGGCAATAGGAGCCTGAGCCACATCATCCATGTGTTCCCTCAAGCTCTCCTCTGCTACTCATGAGGTCTCCATATCTGTCACTATCAATTCCAGATCTTCCTTTTGATTGAGACTTTTTCAACTTTCTTCTGCTCCTGTTGGCCTTTTGATCCCTGAACAATCTTTCTCCAGTATATACACAACATAACCAGTCCCAAATTGGAGCTCTAGATCTCTTTCTCCTCTGCGTCATCTACTCCACTACTGCTGAACCACTATCAGCCTTCTGTGGCCTGTGAGGAGGCCACTCTGAATCACTGGTCTTGAGTCTCTATCATAAGCTTCACATTTCTCTGGGTGGCCATTTCATCATCACCTTGTTGCATCTAAACACCAGCCTCATTTCATTTTTTAATTTAATTTTATTTATTTTAATTTTATGTATATGAGTGTATTGTCTGCATGCATATGAATGTACCCATGTCGTGCAATGTTCGCAGAGGTCAGAAAAAGGCTTTGGATCCCTAGAAACTGGAGTTATGGATGGTTGTTAGCTGCCATGTGGGTGGTGGAAATTGAATTTGGGTCCAATGCAAGAGCAGTCAGTGCTCTTAACCACTGAGCTATCTCTTCAGCTCTTCATTCTTTTTTAAATAAAAAGAATATTCCAGTTTTTCAGCATAGCAGTGCATTGTTTTCAGAACACTTTTAACTAAGAATCTGAATCTACTGAAAAAAAAAGGAAAAAAAATCCCAGCCCCCCCATAAGAGCAAAGAGATTAAGAAAAGATATGTATCAAGACATATAAAATATGTTTTATGTTAAATTCACATTTTAAAATTTTATAAATTCACATATAGCTCATCAGTGTTTGGAGAGTTATAACATAAGCACTATATTTGTCAAAATGTTCTCCTTTCATCTGAGAAGCATTTAAAATCCTTGAATATTTACCTGATAGATACCGTGAACATTTCAAGAATAGTTAAAATCAAGGGGAGATAAAAATTAACAGCAAATAAAATAACAAACAGCATAATCACCAGCGGTGGTTGTGTGTGGAAACAAATGAGATCTTCTTTAACCAGAGACTAATCAATAAGTAGTAATTAATTTTATGATCCTTCCTTTGCCACACTAATTAGTGTTAATTTCTTTTCAATATAGAACAGGAAGAAAAAAAATCTGTGTAACAATGTCTATTCTCATTTTGCCATTTGATTTTCTACATTTTGATTGCAAAATATATTATTATTTTTAATGTAACATGCTACATTATATGAAGAAAACTAGCAACCTTGCAACAATGTCATCTATTCCTTCAGTCACAGGGTAATAATGTTGACAGATAAATGTATAATTGTCCAAATTTATCTCATTTTATACTATATATATATACACTCATGTAGACTAACCTTTTATAGAAATTGAATAATGATCTATACAGTGTGTTGTAGTTGCTTATTAACAATATATAACTCAACATTATAATACTTTATTGCCTTGTAAATGCCTTCTCTGTGCTGAATTTATAGTATCTTACTGTACAATCTTGTGAGTCTTGTTCACAAACATGTTGCTTTATAAATTCTTCTATGAATTTTCATTTTTGCCTCCTCAAGCACAATAAATATATCTGTAAAAACACCTCAATTTCTCTCATGTTGACCTACATTTTGCTTTCCTATATGATAGAAGCAAATAATATATTGCTAATAATTTTATATTTTACTTTTTATGCTTTTTGACAAGAATTTGATATCATCAGGTGTGAGTCTTCAAATTGACTTCATTTTTTTTTCATAGAGTTTCATGTTTTCCCCATCAAAAAGTACATTCTGGTGCATTCTACTTGAAATATATATTTTTCAAATATTTCATGCCTTGCATCTGCTTTTAATAAATTATTTCCCAGTTTTGTCTTTCAGAAGGCATTTCCTCTTTCTTCTTTCAAATCAATTCAGGAGGTGATGCTTTTGTGTTGAGAGCTTTGTTTTTGTTTTCAACATGGTATCACTTTTATCCATTTTTTTCTGCCTTCTATGATTTCATCTCTAGTGTGACACTCTATCCTTTTTTCTCTGTAGGACCATAAATTTCATCTGTAACCCTATAGCTACTTTAAAAAGTTGCTTGTATCATAGATTTCAAGTAATTTATAATGTATACAGTTTTTAACATTTTTCATATTCATCTTATTTGATGTTTTGTAAGATTCTTCTAAGATTTGATGCATTCCATTTATTTTAGAGTTTCTTTATTAATCTCTAACCACTTCTTCTACCCTATGTGCATTCCATATTCTAATTTCAGTCACTCCTATTATTTCTCTGTTAGGCTGTTGGGCAGTGGTTCACAGAACAGTTGTGTATTTTTTCCCTTTCTCTTCCTCCTTGTTTCCATCCTTTGTCAGAGACCCTGTTCCTATATAGTGGTAGGAGTAATTTACTGCTGCTCACTCAAAATGGTTTCCTCAGTCTTTCCCGTGATAGCCTTAAAAACCTTTTTTTACTTTTTCTTGTCGTGCAGCAGATTCTTCATGTATCTGCAGAGTGACATCATAGCTCTCTTCGAGGAATTCAGGGCTTTCCAAAGAGATAAAAAGGCAGATGAATGTACCTCCATTCTTTTTCCAAAGCAACCTCACCTTCACAAATGATTTTCTCAGTCTATTTCCTGCCATACGTTTCTTGATGCTATGCCTCAGGTCAAAAGAAATGGATTCATCTCCTTTATTTGGTTTCCTGAAATTACTTATGGTTGTGGTACTCACCTAAGACTTTAGCAATCCATTAAAACATTTAATTAAACTCTTCTTATTAACTTATATGGTATTTCATGTATCAGAGTACAAAAGACTCTCATTCCATATCCATTTGAATGAAATGTGTCTTTGCATAGACTTGGTTCAAAACAATAATTGCATTTGATGAACTGTGGGACTCAGATCGTTAGTGAGCTGAGTGACCTACATAAATCTAATTGCATATAGCTTGAATGCAAACCAAATCCTTCCATTTCTTGAGACCCCACTCCTGTATAACACACACTGTTGCTCTCCACTGTAGCACATTTGTAACTGGGTAAATTGCAACAAGTGAATTAGAAGTCAGAGTAATTGCATAATATTACAGCATGACTATTCTTTCTCTTGTTAACACTTTTATGTGCAATTCTGTTTTAGTCCCAGCTGTCCTGGAACTCACTATGTAGACCAGGCTGGCCTTGAACTCATAAAGATCTGCGTGCCTCTGCCTCCCAAGTGCTGGGATTAAAGGCGTGCGCCACCATGCCCAGCTATTGTGCAATTATTTTTAACCAAGATTTTACCAAGTTACAGGATGTTATGGAAATGGTTATTGTGTATTTAAAATGCTTTTTGCGAAAACAGTATTCATTTTTTCATATGAAAATGAGTTTTAGTGTTAAAATATTGTAATTAATAGTATTTTGGAGTTTATGATTATCTACAAAGTATCAAAAAGCTTGAGCAATGAATAACAAAAATAATATGCAATTAGAATAGTACATTCCATTGAAATAATGACTAATTAGTAATAAATTCTTTCTGGTTAATTAATATTCAAAGCTAAAGATGATGCAGTTATGCCTAATTTACTTCAACACATATTTCCCAAGTTTAATTTAAGACCTTATCTTCTGATTGTCCACCAATTGCCCTGTGTTTAATGCCTATATTGTTGTTTTGCTTTAATTTCTGATGATGGTATCTTACATATTTAGCTAATCATTTTCTTTGTGCATCTAGGATTTGATACCAGTATTTTGCCAATTTGCAAGGATTCGCTTGGCTGGATGTTTAATAGACTTGATACAAACTATGACCTGCTATTGGACCAGTCAGAGCTTGGGAGCATTTACGTTGATAAGAATGAGCAGTGTACCAAGGCATTCTTCAACTCTTGTGACACATACAAGGACAGTTTGATATCTAACAATGAATGGTGCTACTGCTTCCAAAGACAGCAAGGTAAAATACAAGCAACAATCATGGGATTAGCTGACCTGAATTGCAAATTTGATCTATTCCTTCATGATAAAACAATTAACAATAGACAATGCCTCACTAATTTCAGTAATTTTTAAAAATTTGAATGTTTAATGAAAAAGCAAATAGGAACTGTATTGAATAAAATCATTGTGCTGAAGATACATTCTAAACAAGGTGAAAAATAGTAATTAATATTTTATATTAATATATTTCATTATAGTCTCCTTTATGAACCAGTGCAGCACACAGAGATATGAGAAAACAGATATTAAAGTAATCATTAAAATTAATTTGCTATCTGCTTTGCAACGGTGTAAAATAAATGGGGTTTTTATCACTATACTGTGGAGTTTTAATGTTCCATTTTGTGATCTTATTAAATGAGCTTCATGAACCACCGCATTCACCATAAAGTTATTTTTACTCATTTTATTTTTAAAATTACATACTCTTTCAATCTCTTCAATAGAGTTTAGCTTCTTAAAAATTCACTAGCAAAGAAAGTATTCAAAACTCTGAAAGAAATTAGACCAAATGAAGAGTGATGGTATTCTTTAAACAGCATATTTATAGAAGATAAAAATGGACTGTAAAATTAGAATCATGCTTCTAGAATTTATTGAGTCACATAATTTATTAAATTAAATATACATGGCTAAACAGGCTTAAAAGTTCTCATACTTTATTTACAAAATCAAGGAAACACTGCTATTTTGAAGCACCGTTAATAAATTGGAAGCTACTTTGATATATACCCAATATTCACAATGCACTTTAACATTGTTAAATAATGTTAAACTATAACAATTATTATCATACTTCATGATGAATCATATAGAATGCTTTGCTAACTCTACGGCTTTTGCATATTTCTTAATAGTTCATAAAATAGGACTGGAGAGATGACTCAGCGTTTAAGAACACTGCCTGCTCTTACAGAGGGCCAAGGTTCGATTCCCAGCACCCAAAAGCTACTAACAACCATCTGTAACTCCAGTTCCGAGGGATCAGATCCTTCTTCTGACCTCCGTGGGCATTGCATGACACGGATGCACTTACATGCATGCAGCCAGTAAACACATACACATAAAATAAAAATAATAAATAAAACACTTTTTAAAGTTCAAAAATAGAAAATAAGTGTCACAGTTTGATGAATAGTGAATAAATAAGATCAGCTTTGTAAAAGGCCTTAAATATTGATAAACTAATGTAAGAAATAAAGTAACTGAATTTCTGTATTAAATCCCTTATACACACTTATAATACACATTTCTTAAATTTTATTGAATATCTGCATTCTAGATTATCAAACACTCCCTCAAACTACAATCCAGTTATTAGTAACTGGTATATATTTAAAATAGTAACTGGTATATATTTAAAAAACTTAAATAATAATATAATAAAATAAGATTTATTGTTATTAAAAACATGCATTCATATTGTTACTTTCCTTGATAAAAATTCTTTTGTTTTGTCACATGTGATAATGATGTGTTTTTATGTTTGTACATGAACATTGAAAAATCCGTAAACATGAACATATATGTGGAATCTAACAAAGCTGAGTTCATGAAAGCTAAGAGGAAATTGGTTACTATAATCTGAGGAGAGTTGGGGAAAGAAGGGGAATACTGAGATAATCAATGCAAATCTCTTTGAACTGAAATAGTTAAAAACTTAAAAATTTGTTATTAAAAATGTACCTGGAATTTCAGGTTCAGAGTCACATGCATCTGGATATTTACATAGTGAAAGTATAAGAAATCCAGCAAAGGGAACTTTTTCTAATAAATATTAAAAGCTTGGTTGACATCTTTTCTGTTAATTATAAAATAGCGCCTCAGGATGACAGTAAGATTTTACCTTTTGGCTTTATATATAAGTGCAGCTTGATTTCTATCCTAGGAAGAAAAGCAAAGGAGTAGTTTCATCAATTACAAGCTGAAATACAACCATAAGATAAGCATTTAATATTTGAAAACAAAATTTATTTTCTATTTGTTATTTCCTCAAGATAAAATATTTTTGGTCTCATGACTATGTAATATATGTCATAAGCACATTATTTTATCCCTTCTTTATACTTCGTTAATTATATGACATTTAATAACTGAATTATTTTAAAATTGGCATTTCAATCAATTTCAAAATATTTGACATAATTTTATTTTTTTCCAAAGAATAAATGGTGAATAAAATTATTTTTACATTAATATCTTAATAGTGAATCACTAAGATTTATGTAAAATTACCAATTTTTAGAATATTAAAAAATTATTTGTTTTTAATCCCAGCACTTGAGAGGCACAGGCAGGCAGATCTATGTGAGTTCGAGGCCAGCCTGGTCTACATAGTGAGTTCCTGGACATCTGGGGCTACAGGGAGACCTGTCTCAAAAACACCCAAAAAAAAGTGTTTTTAGAGATGAATATATGTATATATAATAAATTTCAATAATATAAACAAATTATGACTATGTAGAATTTTTTACTTTTCTATACATGTGTTCATTTTATTATTGAATTTTAAAAATAAACAAATACTTCCAAAATGGCTTAAGTACTTTTAATTTATTTTTTAAATTATGGCTTATAACATCTTACATTATGTTCTGTTTCTAAATTATATACTTGAAACTTCTGAGAATATTTGAAAAGACAAGGTATAATAGTAACATTACATTAGTAAAAGGGATAAAATTAGCTATAACGTGAAGGAAGGAAAACTTTCAGATCGTTTTATAATGAGAAGCTATTTCTCCATAATCTTATTAGAAAAGAGAGAACTGATTAAATTTTTAGATTGTAATCAATTGAATTTATATTGTAGACCTTTAAAATGTTAGAAGGTAAATATATCCCATTACATAATTTATTTTTTCCATCATATTTCAGTCACTCAGAAAAAATTCAAAAAGACCTACTCTTATGAATACTTAGGAAATCACCGTCCCTCGTATATCTGCTAACAGATTCATCTTTGCACGTGTAAATCATCTTACATAGACAACAAATATACATCACTGTGAATGTATGCTTATAATATGTCAAAAATATGTAGTAGGTTTCTCCTAAAGACATAGAAAGACTCCCTCAAAGTATACGATCTTTACTTAATCTTTGAATTAATATTTTTAATGTTATTATAGACCCACCTTGTCAGACAGAGCTGAGCAACATTCAGAAGCGACAAGGGGTAAAGAAGCTTGTGGGTGAGTAATAACTAGTTTTTCTGATGCTTATATTACTTACATAAAAACGCCCAGGGAAACAGTCACCTGAAATCAGTATTAATCCAACAAAATAGACTGCACTAAAATTCAGCAACAAAATTTATGAACTTTTGGAAAGCCATTAAACTTACTTTTCTTAACTCATCTGTGGAAAAATAAAATTTGTTTTATTACTCTAATATGTTCATTTTGAAAGTTAAGCAAGAAAGAGATTTGTACAACGCTGAAATTAAAACATCAGCAGAAATTTCTAATTCTTCAGTTGAGCAATTTAAGGATTGACAGTATCATATGTTACTATAATTGACATTTACACAAATAATTGTATACATGGAGTGGAAAATATTGCAACTCAGAAAGTTGAATGATATTTCTAGCATTTTTCATTAGCAATTTTTGCAATCTCAGTTTTCATCAAGTAAATAGATGAGTATATTGATAGGTATGTAATGGATAAATGATAGATATTTTCTTAGTTTGGTTTCTTTATTGCTTTGATAAAACGCTGATCCAAACGAAGTTGGGGAGGGAAGTTTATTTGGTTTACATGTCCTCATCACGGTTCATCTTCGAAGGAAGCCAGGGCAGGAGCTCAGAGCAGGCAGGAGCCTGGAGCACAGACCATGATAGTACATTTCTTACTGACTTGCAACTCTGACCTGTGCTTAGCCTGCTTTCTTATACAACTCAGGACCACGGGCCCAGGGGTGGCACCACCCAAAGAGGTCTGTGTTATCCATAACATTCAATAATTAAGAAAGTGTCTCACAGGCAAATGCCCACAGAACAATCTGATATAGGGAATTCCCTAGTTGAGGCTTTCTTTTCCCAAGTGTGTCAAGTTGAAAACTGAAGTATACATCACAGACAGACAGATGTTAATTCCATGTATCAGATAAATCCTTTAAACGTTTTAATATTTGGTTATCGATAGATCATTAAACTGTTAAATTTCATTATTTTTATAATTGGAAATAAATATTTCTAACAAAATCTTTTGGAAATAAATTTTAATCATTTAAAGTGTATCCTTTACCAAGCTCTTCCTATAGGTTTTCTTCACATGCACCAAATCTCATAGCTTGTCTGTAAACTCTAAGAAATTCTTATTGCTAAATTCTTATTTGGATTTCACCACTTTGCCCTTCTTTTCAGTACATTAGTATGGTAAGCATCTCTTCATGCTTGCGATATTGAAACATTCATCACATAATTTTACAATGTCTCTTGATCTAATTGATTCATATTATTTATATACTCTATCTGCAATTAAAATACAGCAGCTTCATATGAGAATATTTTTCATATTAATAGAAAGATCCTAAATCATGAACCATCATGCCAAATAAAACGTTCATTGGTTTGCCATAAAATAGTGTAAGTGTGAAAAAAGACTGATGATAAAAAGTACACATAACATTTCTCTTAATTGTTTCCAGGAACTTGTGATAATGTAGCTCTTGAGTGGAACTGAATTACTGATCTATAAGCTGATATTTGAAAGCTGATGTTTTGGCTCATACAATGGGAAAATCTTTGAACGTCAACCAGAAAATATTTTAGAATTGATCAAAATCTATTAATTCCAAAATCCATTACAATTCTGGCTTTGCTCATTTGAAGTGGCTCATATTTTAAAATATTGTGTAATTACTTGGTGGGAGTTTTTAGTCTTTTTAATAATTTAAATGAAAATATTTATCACATGATAATGTATGCCTCAAATATTCTTTATGGTTTGGAGGAAATAATGATATATATCTGAAACTGGCCAGCTTCTTTGTAAGTATAAGGTGTTGTATGCTTCATTGTGTAGGTTGGTTTTGTTTCATGATTATATCACTCGTGTTATGCCTAGGAGTGTTCTCGTCAGTTTCAGAGTATTCTACCCTAAAGGACAATTTCCTTTCATAACATTATGTTCTTAATTTTTAACATTTTATTATTTTTATTTTATGTGTATGAGTGTATTGCCTGCATGCATGTAAGTGCACCCATGTTATGCAATGCCGCAGAGGTCAGAAAAGGGGGTCAGATTCCCCTAGAACTGGAGTTAAAAATGGTTTGTGGCTGCCATATCAGTACTGGGAATCAAAACTGGGTCCTCTGCAAGAGCAGTCAATGCTCCCAACCACTGAGCTATTTCTCCAGCCCCTCATAATATCTTAAATATGTAAACTTCATCAAGTTCATTCCTCTTTTTATTGTTTAGCCTTAAGTTCATAGACAATATCACAAGTTTTCCAGATTAGTAAAATTTTCTGCATACTACTGAAAATCTAGCAGTTAATAATTCAAGTGAATTATATTGTCTTAGTCAAATTTATTATGTATTTATTAGACTTATAAAATATTTATAGAAAGTACAATTATTATCATAAACAATTGTCCTAAGAAATGACTTTCCCCCTTTATCTCTTTCATAAGTATGTTTTTAAAACCTAATAAATGTGATGATTCTATTCACAGAACAGTTAAGGAAGAAAAAAATATTTCATCACCTAGAACTTACATTCTAACATTGAAATATTATTGAAGAATATTACTGAGCTAATAAATGAATAATTAAACATTTGTCATTCGGCCTATGCCACGTAATTATGTCAGGTACTATAAATATAGAAAAATTGCCACCCTCCTCCCCACCAAACACATGTTAACTAGACTTTCTGGTTAAGAGATTTTTATGCAACACTGAAAATCAAGGGAAGCTTAATATTTTCTTTTTAAAAATTGTTTTATTATTTATTTTTATGTGTATGAGTGTTATGCCTGGATGTGTGTAAATGTGCCTGTGTCATGCAGTACCTGAGGAGGACAGAAGAGGGTGTCAGATCCCCTGGAAGGGGAGTGGCAGATGATTGTTAGCCACCATGTAGGTGCTAGGATTTGAACCTGGCTCTTCTGCAATAACGGTCATTGCTCTTAAACACTGAGGCATCTCTCCAGCCCTTTAAAAAATAATTAGAATCAAAATATTTTCAAACGGTGAAGATATCAGAGCATTGGTGACAGACTATATTGAAAACATAGACAGGCAGACAGATAGGCAAGTACAAAGAGAGAGAAAGACAGAGACAGAGACAGAAACAGAGAGACAGAGAGAGAATAAAGCACCTCATATCCTCAATGGAGAAGCCTTTGCATTGTGGGTCACATTTATTTGTTAAATGAAAGTAGGATGAATGGAGAAGGTTTCATTTCAGATAAATGAAGCACCATGGACTTTGGAGGAAGTAACTTGATATGAAAACAAATCAAAACTTGCAATATATGAATGAAAATTTTGGAAAATGACAAATAGAAATTGGTCAGTGATGAGCCAGTAGAGAGCCTTTATAGCATCTTCATGGTTCAAATGATTTAATGTGAGCACAGAAACAGTCATATTCTAATTATTTTTATTTCTATGAAAACATTATCCTTTCTTGGTGAGACTTATAACAGTAGCATTTTGCCTAATGGGATACAAAGTCACAAATGTAAACGTTTCCTTTGTGAAATGCCATCTCCATGGTAGCTGAGACCACACCTGTTTTCTTCTACAGAAATCACTAATAATGAGTGTGAAATACAGGGTGCCTTTCACTTGCGTGTGTGTGTATATGTGCGTGTGTGTGTATGTTTAAGATATAAACACAGAGTGATTATCTATCCAAAAGGAATACACTGTATTTGTAAACTGCATTTGTGCTTTGTGTGTGATTGTGTGTTTTATAGGACTATACATCCCACTGTGTGATGAAGATGGATACTACAAGCCAACACAATGTCATGGAAGCTTAGGGCAGTGCTGGTGTGTTGACAGATATGGAAATGAAGTCATAGGATCCAGAATAAATGGCGTTGCAGATTGCGGTAAGGCAGAAACATACATCTTATATTTTCCCGAGCATACAATTAAATATGTCAAAGGCCTATAAATGTCTTCAAGCACTTAGTGAAGACTACCCTATTCTGACTATAGAACATATCAAATATATGTGACTGGAGGCAGTGACATGTAGACTTGATCCTTGCATGTTGTAAAATCCTGTGGCTAAATCAACATGTGTTAGAGAGAAAAATATCAAAGTTAAACTCCATTTCCTCCCTGAAGTTTAGAGAGTTGTAACATACAGATAAGGCAGCCTTTACCATTCATTTTGATCCAAGTTTGAAAAATCAAGTGTGTAGTGTTCCAGTTTCCCTTGTTGATTTCTTTTGCCTGCCTGGCTATTGAGACAGTGATTTGAATAATGCAAAGGCTCATCAGAGAAACTAAATGAAAGCAAACTAAGCTGAACAAGATCTTAACTTGTAAAGTTCTATAAATTGCAATTATGTTAGCATATTGTATGTTGTCCTTGTCATCAGGGGGAGGGGAATATCATTTATTTTAAAATTATACTTGTATCTGATATTCTAATTAATTTTAAACATGTATTTTATATATAGCTAAATTAATATAAGGACTTGAATATCACACACATGCACACAAACACACATATATGTATATATTTTCATTTGAAATTTACTTCAGAAAATGCCTTTTCCAGATTGCAAGATTCAAATCGGTGTTTGTATATGTAATATAAAGAGTATTAATTATATAAACTTCTTGGCTACACTCCCTGACTGAACGTCCTAGCAGACTCTAAACGCAAATTGTCCCAGGCTCTTATGTTGGAGCCCTTGGTTTCCAAATATTGGCAATATTTTCAGAGTTTTAAATTTGTGAAGTCTAAAGGATTTTGAAGTTCAGAGGTCAGCCCAGCTTTTGTCTGGATTTGTGCTTCCTAGTTTGTCATGTATGAAGCAGCCGCCATACATTTGAATTTCTGTTTCCATGCTCCCCCGTGTCCAGTAGCTCCATGTCTTCACCATCATGTTCGACAGTCTTCTAAAGCTTTAACCTAATGTGAAACTTTACTCCCTTTCTTTGTTTCTGTCATATTTTGATCACAGTGAAGGGAAAGGTAGTTAATTCATACAATTCTGTATAGAAGGAATTAGTGGGTTTATTTTCTCTGTTGAAATGAACATAATGAAAATTAAATATTTAATGATGATATGTCTCCATTATGAACAGTTTAGGCTGATGATCAACAACTATCATTTGAAGAGACAAATAGTAAACAATGAAAAGTAATATCACCTAATTTTAGCATTCCTGCTTTGTATTTATTTATTCGGTAACTTTATCAGGGCTAGATTTTGAGTTTTTGACCTTATGAATGTGATCAAATCATCAAGTAGGACTCAAAAATTACCATATGTAGTATTTAAATGAAGGCAGCGTTTCTCTTAATGTGGAACTTAAAGTGTTCATATCATTAACTGCTTCAGTGATGTCACAGATGTATAAAGAAATTTAATTTTTTTGCTTCCAATGGAAATTATGTGTAGATGAATTCAATGAGTTAAAATTTTATTTTGGAAACATGCACTCTTGTTTTTTCTTATATTGTTTGGCTGACAATATACATGAAATTGAATTCTAAGAAACAGTATTTTTACCATGTAAGCTGACAATTTCAGTGTATCATGTAAACAGCCACATTGTAAGTACTTAAATATATTAATAAGATTTATAAGAATGAAGAATAAAGTGACACAGTAAATGTATGATGATATTTATGTGAATTATTGCTTCCAGAAATATTAATAGGTCATTTTAAGTTTTACGAGTAGTATTTTTTTTTCTATTGCTACTATAACAAAATCCCACTGAACTGCTGGCTTTATTATTTTTACTAACAAGTTTATTTTCTTATAATTCTGCATGACAGAACTCCAACAGATCTCACTAAATTACCAGCCAGGGGCTCTTTTTTAGGGGCTGTCCAGGAAAATCAATTTCCTTATTTCTTCTATTTTCTAGAAGTTGCTCATGTTCTTTTTCTTCAGATATGGAACTTTTCCTCCATTTTCAAACCAAAAACTTTATCTCTGTTCATTCTTTTGTACTCAGATTTCTAAATTGCCAATTTCTAGAAAAAGTTATTTGATTATAAGGCCCTAAATAATAATGAAATTATCCAATACAATCTCTCATTTCAATGTTATTGTCCTAATGATATTTACAGAGGTCCTTTTATACCACTTAGCATCTTTATTAGGTTTCAAGACTGAGGAAGTAGATATTTTGCAAAGACTAATTTTCTGCCTCTCATACTTACAGAAGAAATTTTAAATAGTTTTTAAGATTCAAAGTCAAATATAAGCCTCTATAAAACTGGGCTGAGACCAGTATTACTACACTGGGAATTACATGACACAGCACTTTAATAATAATTCTTTTACCAAATATATTTTGTGTATTATCACAAGTGAGAGACTTAACAGTGTGAATTTTTGTCTTGTTTTATCAAAATGAAGGACAAATGAATTTGCTTTTCAATTTTCATTATTATTTTATATCTCCGAAGTCCTCTGATTACCCAGTCAAGTAAATCCAATGTTTGTTTTAATAGCTATGGATTTTGAAATCTCTGGAGATTTTGCAAGTGGTGATTTACATGAATGGACTGATGATGAAGATGAGGAAGATGACATTATGAATGATAAAGATGTTATTGAAGATGATGATGAAGATGAAGGGGATGATGACGATGACGGAGATGACCATGATGGATACATTTGATCGCTGAAAGCGGAGGTCAACAAATTCTACGTTTTTAATATTTAGAAAGTAATAGCATATTGAGAATTATGTTCTTAACATGAAACAAAACGATTCTAAACTTCACATATATTTTGTATAATTATTTAAAATATTCAAAATAAATCATAGAATTTTATGTTTAAATAAGAATAATTGCGTTTCAGTTTTTATATGCCTTAGAAAAAAAGAAAACACATACGGACTGTAGCCAGAATAAAGAAAGTTGATATGACTGCTAAAGCAATTTTCATAAGAACATACTTTATAAATATTCCACAAACAAATGAACAACTAATGTGTGCTTGGCACCATATGTATTGCTGCAATGAGAGCTATAAGCTCAATTTACAATGAATTATTAAAGAACTAGACCACAGGGATATTTTTCAATTTATGCATGGCCTTAATTTCAAGTCTTATAGGGCATCTTCCCAAACCCAGGATGAGTCAGAATAACAAGAAAGATACCACATTGTAAGACAAAGTGACCATGTTAGAATTCTTATTTAGTGGTGATGATTTTAATTATGAAGTTATACTGGATATGACTAGAAAAGCAAATACAGAAGACCATAATTTCTGAAAGTTAGAATCTTAGTTCTCTTTTCTACTCTCAAAAGTTAATTGGAAAGACAGTCTCATACAGATTTTTAAAAAAAAAAATTTAGGTATCATTATTTCTAGATTTCTCTATCTTTCTGACCAGCAACTTAAGGTACAGAATTTAAATTAGGAAGAGAAAGATTCATTTAAACCATATTTTCAAGTGTTGTTCATTTGCTACAAGATCAAATTTCAAATATCAATCCTCATTTTATTTTAAATTTTATATAAAAATCTGCATTTAATTTTAGAAATATGCCATTATTATTAGTAGTACTGAAATTTAGATAAAGTATTGTATGGTGCCTTGCAAAAATAGAAATAGAAAGAATCAGCATGCATATCAGTATAGGATACTAGGTGATGTGTAAGCACACCTAATCAACAAGTTACACTAGTAAAATTATTGCTGCTGGAATGAAGAAAATGGAATATGTTTCTTTCTTTTTTTCTATTGTTACTCCCATGCGGACTTGTTTATAATTATTGTGCAGAGTAGCATTTAAGATTTAATTGTAGCAAAAATTACTTTATTTACTATACTTAAGTTAGCATGTTAATTAATTGTGTAGAGATTTTGGCATATCATCAATTTTTGGTGTATTAGAACATTGTTTCTGTGCTGATAAAGATGAAAAAACCCGTTGAATGTTACATGTTGGTATCTTTCATTTCAACAGTGCGTTTACTGGTATATTCTTCATTGAAAGCAGAATTGGTGAACATTTTCCTTTTAATCTATTTATAATCACTAAATTACAACTTCAATGTTCATCTTACATACTATTCAAAGTCTAACGCATTTTCTTTTTTACTGTTTATGTATAGTTTAAAAAATAAAGAATCTTGGAACCAAAGTAAATTGCTCCCTTACTGTCCTTTCTGGGGTATGATAGTAGTATGAAGGGTCCTTAATTTGTTTCTTAATTTTAGAAACTGTTAATCTTACCACCTAGCCAGGAAATGTTTCTGAATTTATTTATTTTGGGGGGAATTCTAAACGAGACTTCTTAGAATCTTGAATAATGACTTTCATAGTATGGTTAAAATTATTTTTATTTGTTGAATGTTTTTATCTATTCATCTGTCAACATATTACAAAATAATTTTAGTTTTCACAGGGATACTATGTTTAAGTTTATTTTTGTTAGATATTAATTAAATTACTTAACTAAGAACCTTATCTATTTTAAAATGTGTATGAACAATGAAATATAATTTTGAGGTTAATTGTGAAAGATTATATAACAAATTGAATACAGAAGTTTTCCAAAGGAATTTTTAAAACTGCATATAGTGATCTTGGAAGTTAAGCTGTTTTTGAGTATTAGAATTCAGATTCAGAAGAAGGAAAATAATTTAACAGCAAATTCAAAACAGAAAACGGTACATTGCTGGGTGTATAGCTCAGTGTAGTACTTGCATAGTATGCGAAATGCCCTGAGTTCATTTCCCAGTGGAACAAAATATCCAAAATTAATAAACTTTATATAAATAACTTATTTGTATACTATATATGTATATATGTGTATATAATTCTACTTATGACAGGAATTAAGTAACTTGCCATCATTTAATTCATTTTGCATGTTTTAAATAAGGAAAGTATGCTCCTACATTGATTCCAAAACTATAAATATAGGGTGCCTATGGAAAGATAGTCACTAGACTAGGACTTGAGATTTATAATTTAATAAAATAATCATGCAGCTAATGTATTAACAGTGGTTAATACTTGTATTTCAAGAATGTAATGTGATATAATTGTATTTTAGATTGTAACACATCAATCAGTGATATTTCACAGATTTAAATAAAGAAAAAGCAACTTTAGGATTCCTCAGTTCTAATTCATCATCTTAGATGAGCATCTTTAAAAAGAGAGACTGTGCTAGTGTTTTACTGTATTTTAGAATAAGTATGAAATATTTCAGTATTGATCAAAATTATGTAAAGATATGCTATGAACAAGACAAACTCTTTCTGGAAATGGTTTAGTAGCTTTCAAATCCATCTATGTATTATCAAAACCACCCCAACTAATTAATAAAACAGGTGCTAAGAGAACTTTGTTCCAGAATCCCTTTTTCAGTATTTTATATGAAGATATGTCATGTGAAACCTAGATCATGAGTATTGATCACTCTGTTCTGTTGCTAGTTTCATTAGAGTGAGTGGGTTTAGAGAGCTGTGTAAATTAACCCATACTCTGTACCAAAACTTTTGATGATATGATTCATATAAAATGAAAGCTGCCTCATCTGCTTTCAATAGTCTAATAGGATCCTATGCATGCATCATTTTTCATGACACCTGATAGTCTAGGGAAAATCAAATCCTAAATCATACCAGAGCCATGATTAGTAATGTGTTTGTTTTGCCTGACACATGCATGCATTTTTGAAAGTGCTAAGAATAAGCAACTATGAGTGAACAGACATAACTGAAATAGCTATGTCAATAACCCTCCCAACTCCAAGCTCAGAGAACATCATGGAACAGTGAGTAGAAAGAATGTAGAGTCAGATGATACAGAGCAGTACTGAGAAATGCTGTCTTCTTTGCATGGATATTGCACACCTGAACTAAAGCTGCTGTGGTTATCTGTAATAAGATCTACACAAGATCAAGCCAAGTAAACATTCTATAATGGTGGGGGGAGGTGCTCCTGAGGTTCCTCCCATACCAGAGGAAGTTATTGGAAGTTGATGGCTACTGAGGGAGAGAGAGTTACTTTCTTTGGAAGGTGATCACTGTTAGGCTACACATGCTTTAATGGAGAGCCACATGCTCCTGCACATAAGGGCAACAGTAATTTAACTCAGTGGGTTGTAACAACGACAGAAAAAAAAAAACCTTGAAATTGAAAGATGTGTTGGAAAGGATCAAAAGCTTTTGAGGGAGAGTGTGGGAGGGGGTATGATCAAGATTCATTGTATATATATATATATATATGAATTTTTCAAAGAATAAAAAAGCATAACCAGTACAGTTGGTATCAAGAAAAAATAAACATTGACTTCTTTATTCCCATTTTATTCTCTTATCTCTTTTTCATGGTGAGTGCATGATAACTAGCATAGGTTGGTAAGAGAGGATACATTCACACACAACCTCAGAATATGTAAAGTGGTGTGAAAATGTAGACTTGAGAGCTCAACTTGACAGAGCAGGTATTGCTCTTGCAAAGGACCCAAGGTCAGTTCCCAGAACTTACACTGGGTGACTCAAGTTCATCTGTTACTCCAGCACCAGTGAATCCAGTGCCCTCTTCAGGCCTTTAAAGGCACTGTACTCCCTTGAACGTAACCACAAGGACACACACACACACACACACACACACACACACACATACATACACACTTAGAAATAAAACAAATCTTAGAAAAAAGAGAAAAACATTTATTCAAAGTGGTAAGAAAAATGTAAATAAATGACTATCTGAACTTCAAGTTTCTTTTAAATTCCAGCTAATATTAAGTTGAACATAATGAGAGAAGAAATTTTCATTCTTCACACAATAAAATTTTTATCTCTCTGTCTTAAAAATGATGTGTAACTTGGGTGAGCATGAAAAGACTCACCATCATTCCATTCCCAGGAGGCAGAAAAGTAGCATCACTGTAAGTTCAAGGTCTCCATGTTCAACATATTAATTTCTAGATGACTGAGGGAAATTCAGTGGAATCCTATACTAGTGCATGTATACAAACACACACACACACACACACAGATCACAAAAAGCAAAAAAAGAGTTGTATAACTGGATTTTTTAATCTTATCAATGAATGACAATGAATGTTTCAAAGAGAACATTCTCATAATTTTATTATTTGTACTTTTATTAATGTAATATACAAAGTAATAGATTTCATTATCACATATTGGTAAGTACTTTGATGTTTCTGATCACTTTCTCTCTTCTTGATGCCTTATCTTGGGTCATAAGCATTAGGAAGACAAAATCTGCATGCTTCCTCTATGGACAAGGCCATTTGCAAGAATCTTTCTGTATAATCATGGTTTTCTCTGCTCACTTGGGAACAGTTTCTGTAACCTATATCCTACCTAACATATCTTCAATTTTATGAGCCTCATAAATATCTTTGTAAGCTGGCACTGCAGATATGTCCCAGTGGTTAAAACCACTACCTGCTCTTGAAGAGGACCTGGGTTTGGTTCCCAACACCCACATGGTGACTAACAACCATTCATAACTACAGTTCCAGAGGACCTGGCACCTTCTTCTGCCATCCATAGGCATTGCATAACATAGGTGCACTTTATTGGATGTTTTGCCTAAAATACACACATTAAGTATAAATAAATATATAAATAAATAATAAATAAATAATACTTAAAAATATTTGTAGGGAAAGGTAAGGTAAATCAGTGTTGAAACATGACTTAAAATTAAACCATGTGAAGCTGTAGAGATGGCTCAGTGGTTAAGAGCACTGACTGCTCTTGCAGAGGACCTGGGTTCGATTCCCAACACCCACATGGCAGATACAAACCATCTGTAACTCCAGTTCCAGGGAAATCTGACACCATCTTCTGACTTCTGCAGCACTGTACAACGCAGGTGCACTCACATACATGCAGACAATACACTCATACACATATGATAAAAATAATAAATAAAATATTTAAAAAATTAAACCATGCATTAACAGGCAACAGGTGTCTTGTCCCTTTGGCTCTTACTACATTATTTCTGCTCCCTCTTCTGTAATGTTTCCTGAGACTTGGGTATAGATTTCACATTATAGGTGCGTCACTCCATGTTGCACAATCCACAGTCACTTGTTCTCTGCATTTGAAAAGATGTGAAAATTTGCAATACTCTCCAGGTTTTTGCAAAAACAAGCCTCTTTGATAACTGGTGAGAGGTGTGCTTGTTAATATAGGCATATATATTTAGAATATTGTAAGAAATTACATTGGTTTATGGAAGTCACTGAAGTAGGGTTTTCTCTAGGATCTATGATCTCTCCAGCCATATTTACTTGCCTTTGTTTACAGTATTAGGCATAATTTCCTTCTCACTTAGTGGTCCTTAAATCCATTTAGAAAACCATTAATTACCCCCAAGATAAAAGTGCGCTGAGAGAGATAGTTTCTGGGTTGGTAATTGCTGTTGTAGATTTTACAACTGAGTAGAATCATTGATTGGTTTCCTCCCTTGGAGGTTTGCACAGTATTCTTTTATATAAGAACTAGTCTTCAACTAGTCTTCTAGTCTTCAAGAACTAGTCTTCAGCCTGCTGCCCATTTCCCTTGCACCACTCTGGAGCCTTGTCTGATTGAGTTACCTTCTTTTATTTATAATATATTCTCTGTAAATATGGGTTATTTTACCTCTCTTTTCCAATTATTACCCCTTTAATTTCCTTCCCTTGTGTTAATCCTCTAGATAAGATTTCCAGCACTATATTGAAAAGTAGTGGAGACAGTGGCCCCCCTCCCTCATTCCTCATTTTAATGGAATTCCTTCACATTTTCCTCCATTTACAAGGATATTGACTTTGGGGTTGCCATATATAAACTTAATTACATTGAGATATGTTATCTGTAGCCCAATTCCCTCTAGGATTTTTATCATGAAAGTATATTGGATTTTGTCAAAGATTTTTTTCTAAATCTATTGAAATGATCATGTTATTTTTGTCTTTAAGTCAGTTTATTTGATGTATTACATTTGTTGCCTTGCATATTTTGAATGATCCCATATCACTGGAATACAGTCAACTTGACCATGGTGGAAGATCTCTGTGATATGTGTCTGCATGTGGATTCCAACTATTTTAATGAGAAGTTTTGCCTCTGTGGTCATTAGAGATATTGTGCTATGTTGTCTTTAGTCAGTCCATTTTAAACACGATATAGAAGCTCTACCAATGAAATACAAACAGTATGGTAGTCTAATGAGATCTGCAGAAAAACGAAACATGTTGCATGCCAAGGTGGAGAGGGGAAATGTCATG